AGCAAATTATGGTCAATAACGATTCGTGAAAAAAGACAATATTTCAATATTGATTATGTCGGTAACGGGGGGGGGGTAGTTGAATGTTAATGTACAAGTACGTAGCTTTAATATTTTTAATACGAAATGCGCCGAACATTTCTTTAATAGCGCCCGCGCGATCGACCCAAGGAGAGCAACAATCATACAGGCGGAGAACTGGGCGGAGTATTTGGGCGTAGAGGTGCTACCGAATTTAAAATTTGACACCGAAACCAATTAACACAACAACAAAAGACTACTGGGATCAATGGGACTTGCGATTCCGAAAAGGAGAAAGTGACAAGTTTGACTGCGTTTCAAGTAATCTCTCGTTATGTGATAGATGTTTTTGTCACAAAATCAAAGGAATAAACACATGTATTAATTTGTACTCAGTAAAACTGATAAAATAATTATTTAATTTTGTATAGTTTAGAGGAGGAGGGCCTAGTATAAGCACGCCATGCTTCTCCCCTCCTCCTGCACCTGTTTTATCATTGTTTTTATATTATTAGTTCCGTCTTATTGATGTGCAAACAATAAAATTAAAAAAAAAAGAAGTAAAGTCTGTTCAGAGGAAGGAAAGACTTCCTTCTCGGGGTCCATGTCGAAAGCTGTCCTCAGCGCTGCGCATGCCACGGCCCTCTCTGTGTTCTTCAGCTGTAGGTGTAACACCCCACCCACCGGCCGGGCGGTAAGATTTCATCAAAGACTACATTTTAAGTTAACTCCGCCCCTATCATTGTAGCTTGCCGAACAGTCGAGTAGGAGTATATCTAGCTGGAATTTTCACGTCGTACTGGCTGGTGTAGCCCGCTACAAAGTAATTTCCTGTGGCATTTATCAAGATTTAAAAATATTTGTGATACGAAGTGAAACATGGTTAACAATTTCTGAACCTTTGAAACGACATGGGCATAATCTTTGTTGAAGATTCCTGAGTTGAACTCAAGCCGGAAGTGTATTTGAAATGGTGACCATCACTCAGTCGAGGCACAACTGTTATGTTATCACGTTACGTTACGACGATCAAGAACGTTCACGGCTTGCGGACCATTTCAAATATTACCACTCACAAACCCGTATGTG